CCCAGAAATGTGTGAAATAGCAATCGGAAATTTATTACTGGCGATACTAAATAGGCATTAATACGGCAGGCTGTTTGAAGATGTAGCTGTATTCATTAGTGACATCATTGTTGGGTTAGGGAGATTTATGATAGACTGGAGTTTCTGTAATCGGAATTTCATACAATTCCTAGGAAATGTATACATTTCCCAGGATATATGTTTTTTAAAAAATTTGTGAAATATTCCTACCTAAATATAATTCCTAGATTTCATACATTTCCAGTAATATATACAAAATCTGCGTGGTTTATAAGTATCGTATTTATCTATAAGGACATCTAAAATAGACAAATTTTTGTTTTGTCCTTGTGTATGTCCTGTAAAACATTCACAAGTATTCAANCACTGAATTCGATTTTTGCAGGTCCAGAATTCCAACAAAGTAAAAGAAACAAGTTCGCTTTATTTGTTTTGTGTATAAATAAATTCATTTTTTTATGCTAAATTAAATACATAAATAAAAATAATTAAAAGTGTAGTTTTCTCCTACATGCATCTATATTTACTATTTTCTATGTAAAATATAATTAGACGTCAAATATTGTTTAATTATCAATTCTCTATTTCTTCCCCTAATTCTAATGTGAACAAATGAATCAAGGCAGAAAAGGCTGATAATGTCTTTATTGATTATATAACCACTTTTGCCTTGATTCGTTTGATCACATTGTTTAATTATAACTGTTTAATTATTATTTAAGACTTCAATTAGATTATCAACAACTTAAATTTTAAACTGTGCTATAAAGTTATCTAATCTATTAGCGACATTTTAATCCTCCGCAATCCTTACAAAAAGTGTTGAAATAGTTTCATAAGTATCATATTTAAAAGTAAAAATTCAGACTATGAGTAAAATAACGATTTGTTTTTGCGAACTTTAAAGCGTCTAGTAGAAATTACCGCCTGGCGATTAATTATTAATTTTTAACAGTATTCCGTGGAACATTATGTAAAAATCAGCACTCACACTTTATGAAAAGTGAAAAATGCTTTTACGTATGCCCATGTTAGCAGATACGTTTAAAGTATATACCAACACTGTTCTATCCCACCCATTTTGTTACTCAGAAAATAAGTAATGTCTGGCGGCTGTGGGATCTTGGACTATTACTACAATATCTATTTGACACAGTGGGTCTCAATACTTAAAGATAACAGTGCATATTGCCAGTTATAATATTTGCAAATTATGTACGATTAATAATAGGAACTCAGGAACTTAAAAGAAAGAAGAATACCTCCAGAAAGAACACGAAAGGAAACTGGATCATCTATGTATGTAAGCTATTCGGATCAGAGTGCAACAGCGAAAAGAAAAAGATATGAGTTAATTGTCAACTACTGAGTGACTTCGTATCTAGGCATCCAAAAACTTTCTAAATGATAAATTAAGTATTCCCTAAAAAAATAAAGGAGGAGCATAGTTTTTATAATTTTAAACGGATCAACGACATGATAAGGAAAAATATGTTAGACGGGCGTGCGCCACCACTTTATATAAATGATTGGCATAGGCCACGAGGATCGGGAAGTATGGCCAAGAGCTTTGGACTATTGCTTAGCATTTGGAAATATACTGGTTCCATTTCGAGTCTGTCTGTCATGGTCTGTTTTTCCATGATTTCCTTGGAATACGTTAAGACAAATGCTGAGATAGAATTTTTTTCACAAATAATCATTCACTCCCTTCTGCCTCCATTTCGTCCATCTCATCTTTCTCATGTCAAGCACTACTCAACCATTCCCTCGATTCATAGTCCGGAAGAACTTCCGGTGTGAATGAAACACCCAAAAGTTTAGTTTTGGGGTACGAGGAGTGCACTTATCCGACTATTAAGCAAGCAACAACTACTGATGGCAGCGACCTGCGAGACCATCGAAGGGAGAGACACCATCGATATAAAAAGCAGTTTTTTGAAGACTTTTTTCCATGGACTCGGATAAAAGTTGCAAATTACCCCGCAAAGCAAGTACTGTGAAAGAACAAGATACGTAGTATCTACAACCATCACAGAAAACATAAGAACCGCCAACAAAACCAACGCTAAGCATCGTTCGCGAAAGGATCCACACGTTAAAGTGGTAGCAAGAAAGAACGGAGGTCCCACAATAGAAACTGCTTTCATCATCGGAAAACTCGAATTAGTGTTAGTCAAGTTAGCGATTGTTAACCTAAAAAAGAGGCCAACACGCCCTGTGAAATTCCGATGCATCTGTTAGGTAACACCTACGTCCGGCTATGTCATTTGAATATTTCCTCTCCTCCACGTAAACAAAAAAACAAGGAATTGTAACGGGCTAGGCAGATCCTTACGGTCCTGCTATCAAGGTAGTGTTCTGCGCGCTTAAAGGGTTATAGGTTGAGAGGGCGTCGGAAGAGGACCATCGATCGACACCACCAGACGTCCCGCCAACAGTAGCAGACATCTTAGCGTGGACGCATTTTAAAACTACCCTTTGTGAAGTGTGGGAATATTTTCTCCACCCTGATTTCATTCATCTTTGGACAGGGGCCCGAATAATTGTATAATTATAATACACTGTAAGGGTTATTTTTTCAGTTTTTATTTTTATTTTTAACTAGCTGTCCCGACAGACTTCGTACTGCCCCAATCGATATATAAAAGACCTAAATTTTTGTATAAAATAAACTTAGTTGACAAATGTCAAATATTATGGTTGCGTTCAGAAATTTAATTTGACAGAACTTAAGATTTATCAATCTACATAAAAATAATCTGAAAGATAGTTAACAACTTTCATATTTATTCACCTTTTAAACCTTCCCTGGACTTCCACAAATAATTCAAGACCAAAATTAGCCAAATCGGTCCAGCCGTTATCGAGTTTTAGCGTGACTAACGAACAGCAATTCATTTTTATATATATAGATTAAAGATAGATTAGAGTTTCGTGTTTTCATTTATTTACTTTTTATGTGAAATTGCATATACGTTTGGTTTCGTGTAAAATCTTTGTATCTATTTAATAAAATAAACGAATCTAGTTTTTCCTTTCTGTTTTTAAAGATAATTCACGACCTACACATGCTAGGCTCGTTATATGTCCACCATGCCTGCCTGCAACAGATACAACCGCCTCGTAACAGTTTACAACTTCCCATAAGAAATTAAAAAAACTTGCTCTTATCCCCATGTTTTCCTTGTTTCTGTCAATAGAAACCTTAATGTACCATAAAAAGACGTTTTAGGAGACCAGACACTAGGAGCCTCTATTGTCCATCTTGGTGTGGTGATAATACCTCTTTCGTTAATGGTTATTTATAATTTGAGATGTATTCAAAAACCAAGAGAAATTCTTTAAAACTAAAACAATTTTTTTTCATGCTTTATCTCCTCAATATCATTGTATGCTAGGCAAATCTATTACATCTGTGATTAGCATGTATGATGTGAAACAATTACGTTCGTAGGTACCTAATATACCTGCAGTGCAATTTATTGTAAAATACAACCCGAGTAAGCACTTACGCCAACGTTTACAACAGCTTTAAATGGCAAAATCAAAAGTTATTGTTGTTGCGAAATAAACACAGGTTTGTGGAAATTGTTTGTTGGCTATTTGTTACGACCTTTCACGCGATCGTTATGAACGTGGAACGAACATGAAAGGAAACAATACCAACAAATAATAATTGTTTCGTCCTCCATTCTCTCTTCTATACGAGATGAATAGTAAAGTCGTAACAGTTTTTATATGCCCTAATTTTTGACATGCCGTTTTATCAGCCTTAACAAAAGAACATAATGCCAAAACATTGCTCTCTTTGATGTCCAATTTATAATTAATTTTTGGAAAACAATGGGACACCAACGTACAAAGTTAGTATAACCGCCGTAACCTGCCTGACCTTCCACGCAACGGGTGTCGAACTAATGTAACTATATACTGAATATACTAGTGTGTAGTGGGTAAAAAATTCAGAAATGAATTTTCAGAATAATATTTCATATTAAACTAACTGACTTCTAAAAAGATGTCTAAATTGTATGTATGTTTAATCATGGTATATTCAGTAAATAGTTACATTAGTTCGACGGATCGTAAACCTTGTAGGTCGGTTGGTAGTGGTTGCTGTTGTCACTTCTCGTAGTTTAGTGGTAGAACATTGGTTCGTAAAGCCAAAGGTTCCGGGTTCGATTCCCAGCGGGGGTGTAACACAGCAACAATTTTTCCCTCATTAATTTGAGGTAGTGTGTAGTAGGTAAAAAATTCAGAAATGAGTTTTCAGAATAATATTTCATATTAAACTTAGTCACTTCTAATAAGATGTCTAAATTGTATGCATAAAACAATTTTCTCTCATGCTTTATCTTGAACTATTTTACTGATCGATAGCTAATGTGCTTTTAACTTAGATTATATTGTTTGTAACAACAAACAAACAAGAAATATTTTCTTCTAATTTTCCCAGATATTGTTCGAAAATGAAGTGTCATAATTCTGACTTCAAGTTTTAAGCTTTAAGCTAAGCTAAAAATGAGTAGGTTAATAGCCGATGACATCGGGGATGAGAAGAAAAAATAATGCTTCCTTCTGGGAACATTTTTAACTATTGAAATGTCATTTTGTCTGTACTAATATTATAAATCTGAAGAGTTTGTTTGTTTATTTGCTTGAACGCGCTAATCTCAGGAACTACTGGTCCAATTTAATTTTTTTTTCAGTGTTAGATAGCCCATTTATCGAGGAAGGCTATAGGCTATATATTGTCACGCTAAGACCAATGAAGAATGTTGCAAAATAGGTTTTTTCCTTTTGAGAGCTTCCGCTGCTTGTGCTGCGTAAACGGTTAGAGTATCGCAAAAAAACGTGTATGAGAGAAAGTTCTAAAAAAAGTCCGCGACAGCATATGTCTATCATTTAAGATTAAGTAACTATTCCACGCGGACGAAGTCGCGGACAGAAGCTAGTTTATTATATGAAACACTTACCTTGTTTACTGTTCTACCATCTTCATCTTCGGAACAAGAAGAAGCAGAATTTTTCCTAAACGGTGATTTCCAGATAATATCCGAATCTAAACCGATTATACTCGATCCACAATAATTCAAATTGCTACAGGAACTATTCAAACTTGATTCAGCAGACGACGACGGATCTATTCTCTGATTTTTGAAAAACTCAATATCGTCAAGTGTCAATCCCGTCACGTCATCGGAATAATCACTAACTACAACCGAAGGGGTCCGAAAATACCGGTACCGGGATTGCTCGTCACGGGGTTCGTCAACGTCATCGTCAGTGGCACAACTATGTCGACGGCCATTATCCACAGCTTTATCACTACACTCGACACTATCACTAACACTAACGCTTGCCTGACGATTCAATGGATACATGATAACATTACCCTCGATTAGGGTCTTGGATGGAACACCGGCTTGACTGGAAAAACCAACAGAGTTTTCTTCTTCAGTTGTACAAAACTCTTGATTAGCCGTTTCGGTTGGACCAGCAAGTTCTTCATCAACTTTTTCTTTATTGTGTTCATCGTCACTGAGATTAAAGTTCAAAGCTGAATCGTTGCTACTGCTTCGTTGAAGAAGGTTCTTTTCAGGCGTTAACCAGGTCCTGTCTCTTTCGTCTTCACTGGTTCCGGAAGCTGCAGAACTGCAATAACCACTTGTAGGTGGGGCTAAATAAGAATCGTCTGTTGCAGAACGGTCAGGACTAATACTCTGTGTCTCTCTTAGTGTTGATAAAATAGTATCAGCCTCATCAGTCTTAGAACTATCAATAACGTTGTCTTCCGGATTGTTCAACAATACCGAACATTTGACGAAAGGTTTTGAATCATTATCCAGTTGAGTATGAATGGCAGTCTTTTCAGTTTCATTGGTGTGTTTTTGTAATTGGTATTCTGCGGAAGAGATTTCAGTGTTGTCTGAATTCTCCAAACTTGTTACGTTGCTTGTTTTGTGGGAATCATCTAAGTTGGCAGTATCTTTATTTCCATCATTGACCTCTATTTGTTGTTGAAACTCAACCAAACTTTCTTCTGTTTCTTTATGATCTTGTTCACTGTTTGATTTGGAGACAGCGTCTACTATAACAGGTTTAGTAGTTGTATCTACTTTAGTAACAAGAGCATTATTTTCAATGATTTTTCCTTTAATCAATAGCGGTTCCTGCAGTTTCTTGTAAGTACTTTCTAGCATGGCCATGTATTTTTCTCTCATCTGTTTGACACTCTTGAAGATGCTTTCCGATTTCGTGCTCTCATTCATCTTCTCCAGACTTGTTCCTCTCTGATCTGCGGTCAGTGGCCTGGCACCTTCGAGTGCATTTTCGCATTCTTCGTTTATGTTCTCAGACACAGGTTCAACTACGTAACCAGTCTCTTTCTGGGCCGTATACGTCATCTGTGACCCCGAAGGCAAAACGATGTTGCTTTCGCTATAGAGTTTTCTATAGAACGTACTATGCTTTTGTGCTTTTGATCGAATTATTTCTTTAATTTTTTCAAATTCATCAATGATTTCATGTTCTCTTTTGGAAGATTTTTCCATTTCAAACGACAAGGCTGTGACCGTTTCAGTGGAAAAAATTAGACCACTTCCTATAAATGTCCCCTCTTTGTAACGTTTTCGTTGAAAATATTTATTAAATTTGACAGCACGTGTATCGCTGAGTAAAAAATTTGGTGGTGAAACGCAAGGATCGGATACTATTTCTCCGTTGATACACCAGGGGGATGACAGTCCAACCTTTTCCAGGTTCTGATGGGTCCAAAATAAACTGAAACTAAAGAGAACGCATTTTTGTTATCTGACATTCATTGAAATTCTTAAGCTAACTTCGCACACATTTATTTAATAAGTAACTATTCTAGAAGTAAGATTTCAAACGTATATACTTCATTTTAGCAAAAACCACAAACTTAATCCGTATATATAAATTTTATAGATCCTTTTTTTCTAAATTTACGAAACCCATGCACGCGCTCTTTTCCTTTTTCTTTATCATTTTCTCTATTGTTACCCGTAAAGCTAAAATGGTCTTCTGAATTCCCTTGTTTCTTCTTCCAAATTGATTTTCTTTCGTTCTTTTTTCCATCCTTCTCCGTCCGATACTACTNTCAGACTATGAGTAAAATAACGATTTGTTTTTGCGAACTTTAAAGCGTCTAGTAGAAATTATCGCCTGGCAGTGTCAATTATTAATTTTTAACAATATTCCGTGGAACATTATGTAAAACTCAGCATCCAGACTTTAAGAAAAGTAAAAATACTTTTACGTTAGCAGGTATGCATACCGTCAAGGTATATACTAACACTATTCTATCCCACCTAGTTTGTTACTCAGAAAATAAGTAATGTCTGGCAGCTCTAGGATCTTGGACTATTGCTACAATATCTATTTAAAACAGTGGATCGTAATAATTAAAACATAACAGTCCATATTGTCAGTCATAATATTTGCAAATTGTGCACGGTTAATGAAATAGGGACTTGAGAGAAAAAAGAATACTTCCAGAAGGAACACGAAGAGAAACTCTATCATCTATGTATGGAAGCTATAAATAAAACAGAGGCAAAGCAATTAGGATCGGAGTGTAACAGCGAAAAGAAAAAAGTTATTGTCAACTACTGAGTGACTTGGTATCTAGGCATCCAAAAACCTTCTAAATGATAAACTAAGGCTTCTCTTAAAAAATAAAGGAGGAGCGTAGTTTTTATGTCTTTTACACGGATCAACGACATGATAAGAGAAATAGTTAAATATGTTAGATGATGAGGGGCATGCGCCACCACTTTATACAAATGATTGATGTAGAGTACGAGGATCGGGAGGCATGGCCTAGATCTACGGACCATTACTTACCATTTGGGAAGACACTGGTTCGATTTCCAATCTGTCATGGTGTAAGTTTTTCCGTGGTTTCCTTGGAATATTTATAGACCAATGCTAAGGTAGATTTTCATAGATAAATAATCGTTCACTCTCTTCTGCCTCCACTTCATCTTTTTCATGACAAGCACCACCCAACCATTCCCTCGATTCGGAAAAGGTGGCCCTACTCTTCAGTGTAATCCGCAAGAACTTCCGGTGTGAATGAAACACCCAAATGTTTAGATTTGGGGCACGAGTATTAAGCAAGCAACAACTACTGATGGCAGCGACCTACGAGACCGCTGAAGGGAGAGAAACCATAGACATAACAAGCAGTTTTTTGAGGACTTTTTTCTATGGACTCGGACGAAAGTTGCGAATTATCTCGCAAAGCAAGAACCACAACATGCATCGTTCGGGATAGCGTCCCATACGTTAAAGTGGTAAGAAGAAAGAACGGAGGTTCCACAATAGAAACTGCTTTCATCATCGGAAAACTCGAATTAGTGTTAGTCAAGTTAGCGATTGTTAACCTAAAAAAGAGGCCAACACGCCCTGTGAAATTCCGATGCATCTGTTAGGTAACACCTACGTCCGGCTATGTCATTTGAATATTTCCTCTCCTCCACGTAAACAAAAAAACAAGGAATTGTAACGGGCTAGGCAGATCCTTACGGTCCTGCTATCAAGGTAGTGTTCTGCGCGCTTAAAGGGTTATAGGTTGAGAGGGCGTCGGAAGAGGACCATCGATCGACACCACCAGACGTCCCGCCAACAGTAGCAGACATCTTAGCGTGGACGCATTTTAAAACTACCCTTTGTGAAGTGTGGGAATATTTTCTCCACCCTGATTTCATTCATCTTTGGACAGGGGCCCGAATAATTGTATAATTATAATACACTGTAAGGGTTATTTTTTCAGTTTTTATTTTTATTTTTAACTAGCTGTCCCGACAGACTTCGTACTGCCCCAATCGATATATAAAAGACCTAAATTTTTGTATAAAATAAACTTAGTTGACAAATGTCAAATATTATGGTTGCGTTCAGAAATTTAATTTGACAGAACTTAAGATTTATCAATCTACATAAAAATAATCTGAAAGATAGTTAACAACTTTCATATTTATTCACCTTTTAAACCTTCCCTGGACTTCCACAAATAATTCAAGACCAAAATTAGCCAAATCGGTCCAGCCGTTATCGAGTTTTAGCGTGACTAACGAACAGCAATTCATTTTTATATATATAGATTAACAGCACTCACTGTTGTCTAAGCAATGTAGGTGTGTTCCTAACGTCAAAGATCATATCTATCAAAACAATGTGCGTGTGTGCGTAGGAGCACAGAATACATAGTTGGAGGAGTTTAATGTCGCGTTCCGAAACTCGCGTTTCTTTTGTATTAGTTTCGGCA